TGTTGTGGATCAATGGACTGAAGAAAATGGAGAGGAGAAGGGTTAAGACTGAAGAGATACAAGTTTAACTTAAGAAGAAAAACTGGATATAATGATGGTAGAGGGGTAAGAAGAGAGGTATGTGTAGAAGGAAGAGAATAGAGACTTTGTTTCAGAGTATAAGAAGTAGAAAAGAATTTGAAGAAAGATTATGTAAGGAATAGCTTAAAAATCTAGATGAAAATAAGAAATTATATATATGTGTGTGTATATTTGGGAGAATTGCTGATATTAGAAAAGGTTTTATTGAAAGAGTATTGGAAAGTTGATTAATCTAATTCCTGAAATTATTATGTTTACATACATAGAAGGCCTTTATTTTGTATAGAGAACTAAACAGGTTAGCTCTGATGGAGTAGTAGTACAATGTGGAGAGAAACAAAGAGGAAGGAGTGAGAGGAAAAAAGAAAAATAAACAAAATTAGGAAATTGAAAAGTGGAAGAAAGGACTAAATAATAATGAAAAAATAGAAGATTTAAGTAAAAGAGCAGATCCTAAGAACACAACCAAAAAATAACACTAAGAAACAAACAACAATCAAACGTTAAAAAAAAAAAAAAACCTTAAAAAAAGCTAAAGAGTGAGTTTTTCAGCTTGTTTGGGGGAGCTTGAGTCTCTACATAGCCTTCTAAGCCTATTCCTGATAAAAACCTTGTATGCCTTGCCATAGTCTGCTTCTTTGTGGCTTGTTTGTATCCAGACGGGCTTTTGACAAGGGAATGCTGAAACAAGGATGCAGGCTGACCCACTGTAACGATGAGATGTACAAGACACTATGTTAAAAATCAGAGTGCCTTTGGTGGGGGGAGGGGGAGGAGAAAGTGGGGAGGCTGGGAGGGAAGGGAAGGAAAAACAAAGGAGGAGGTAACAATGCTCAAGAGGAAATGTATTCACTACCTTACTCATGTAACTGTAACCCCTCTGTACAGCATCTTTACAATAAAAAAAATATCCTTAAAAAAGAAAATGTGTGTCACCGAGACAGAGCTGAAAAACCTGCCTTTGCTGCCATCAAGTGGCTGTTTTCAGAGTTTTCCTAGGAGCAGCAGCCACAGTGGACTGGCTTGGATTTGCCCAAGTTTTCATTCCCTTACATTATGCACGTATTCTTCTTTTGGGGTTGGGAGGCATGTGTGGAGGGAGGGAGGGGAAGACCAAGAAACGTAAAATTAAATTAAAGCTTTATATTATGGATACCATAAAAATTACATCACTCAGAGAGTCTTCAGAAAGACAACTTCAAAAAGTGTTTGAAGTATCCAAAAAGTAGAAGCCCTTCCCAGACTTAGCTGATCTGCTTCGTTCCTAGTCAGCAAAGGCTTCATCCTGGACTCTGGAACATCTCTTTCTTCCGTTGTACCAAATAGAGAATTTCGAAATAGACTGGCTTTCAAGTTACTAGTTGAACACAGGAAGCATCAGAAAATTCATTTAGGATCATTCTTTTTTGTATGTGCCAGTACTGAGATTCGAATACCTGGGCACTCTCCCTTGGCTATTTTCACTCAAGGTGAGCACTCTACCATTTGAGCCACAGCTCTGCTTCCAGCTTTTTGCTGCTGAGTCTCGTGTGTTTGTCTGCTTGTGCTGCATTCAGTTATCCTCAGATCTCAGCCTCTTGAGACAAGCGTGAACACCTTCCTAGGATCGTTTTTAAACAAGTCGAATGCAATTGCTACGGAGGAAAGTAGTTTCATAGCGCTTTCTTATCAGCATCTTACGTTTTCAAAGCTTCAGTCCTGCATGTATGGCATTCTTCTAGCCAATGCTTAATGGTGGATGCATCATAACGTTCTAATTCTGATCATGGCTTTGCCCTTCTCCCCTTTTCTCTCTCCCAAGAGAAAAAATGTAAGCAGACAGTAGGATGAAAGGAAAATAAACAAAAACCACTTCATTTTTTGACCTAGCATTCTTTTTTTCCCCCCTTTTTCTTTTACTATTTACATAGTGGAACCAAGAAGTGTGAATTCAACATGTTATCTTTTGAGTAGATCTGCATCTTGCTCAATGGTACCAAAACAATGCAACCATCCTGTCAGCTCTCCCTTTCTGGACCCAACACGTGCCTCAATTTGTCTTTTTAATTGTGTGTGTGTGTGGTAGGAACTCACTGTGTAGCCCATTCTAGCCTGGAAGTCATGATCCACCTGTCTCAACTTCCTGAGGGCTAGGGTTACAGGCTTGTACCACCATACTTGGCTCTGCCCAGTGTTATGAGAGTACAAAATCTTCCAGTGAGGCCTTTCACTCTGTTAAGTGATTTCAGGCATTCCCCAGTCCCTTCTCACCTGCTCTGTGGCTGAGGATCTGTCCCCAAAGCCCCCAAATCAAATCCCTCACCTCATCCTTTAAAAAAGAAGAGGCAGGCCAGGCACAGGTGGCTCCTAGCTACTCAGGAAGCTGAGAGCTGAGGATTGCGATACAAAGCCATAGGCAGCAAGTCCATGAAACTTTTATCTCTAGTAACACAGAGAAAAGCCAGATGTGGAGCTGTGGTTCACCATCTTTGAGTGAAAAAGCTAAGAGACAGTGCCCAGGCCCTGAGTTCAAACCCCAATGCAAGCAGACCCAAAAATAAAATAAGCTGTAGCTCAAGTGGTAGAGCGCTGGCCTTGAGCTGAAGAGCTGAAAGACGGAGCTCAGTCCCAGAGTTCAAGGCCCATGACCGACCAAAAAATAAAGTAAAATAAAATAAAATAAAGATAGACTGAGAATTCATGACATCATTTTGAGTACAAGAAATGCTTATAGACAATGCGTTTTAGTAACTTTCTAAAGCCTGAACATTTGTTCTCAAATCACATTCTTGTCTTTAGTATTTGCTAATATAAACTAAAGTATAAGCCGTGTGAAATGTCTGCTTTTCCTTTACCATCCATCTCCTTTAGTGGAGGAGAACACACAATTTTAAATGGGTTTCACTCTACATCAAGATGTAGGCGCAGCCAGAATCTATACATGACATCAAAACAATTGCATACCACAGAACTGATGGCAATCTCAGCCAGCTTAATAGTTAAAGAAAAGGATCTTATCTAGCTTTCTAATCTTTTCTAATCTTAGCAACTGTTGCAGTACACATGACATATCTAAGGTGGTTTATCATTGTTCCCTGATTTATTTCTTTCTCTCTTTCCTTCTTTTATTCTTTCTTTCTCTCTTTCTTTCTTTCATTCATTCTTTCTTTTTTTTTTTGTCGGTTGTGGGGCTTGAACTCTGGGCCTGGGCGCTGTCCTTCAGCTTTTCAGCTCAAGGCAAGCACTCTACCACATGAGCCACACTGCCACCTCCAGTTTTCTGAGTTGTTTATTGGAGATAAGAGTCTCTCGGCCTTTCCTGCCTGGGCTGACTATGAACCATGATCCTCAGACCTCAGCCTCTTGAGTAGCTAGGATTATAGGCATGAGCCACCAGTGCCAGGCTCCTGCTCTATTTCTTAATGTCGTACACTAAGCTGATTTCCAATATACTTCCCTTAAAACTTCCAGAAGACAAACTAAAGGGAAACTATACTAAAAGACCCACCTTCATGTTTTTATTAATAATGACCTTTGTGCTATGGTAAATTGATAAGTATAAAAGATAATCCTGCATTGAATTCAGGATGTCTGACTACTAAAATGACCTAGTTAAGAACAATGATGCAAGAGGTGTCATTGATTAAGATGCATTGTAAATCAAGCATTGAAGTGTTGAATTGAAACCCCTTTGTACCATTATTAAAGATAAGTTTAAAAATAAATAAAATTCTCAGAAGTGGTGCTGTGGCTCCAGTGGTAGAGTGCTAGCCTTGAGCTGAAGAGCTGAGGGACAACGCCCAGGCCCAGAGTTCAAGTCCCATGACTGACAAAAAAAGAAAAATTCTTAATCAGTTATTTTTAGTGACTCGTTTATAATGAAGATGTCTCTGTCAACCAAGCAATTGAGGCAGGAGGATGGAGTGTCTTCAGGTCAAGGCCAGTCCTGGTAACATAGGAAGATCCTGCCTCCAAAAGCCAGAGAGAAGCATAAAGGTTACTAATACCAAACACCTGTATTTAACCTGTTACTGAACAATGAAATTGCAAACCTGAAGACCTTCATCATAGCTCTGCCCTACAAATTAGACGAATATAATCAAGTTAGTGAGTTTTCTGGTTGTCCTACCCTGTATCATTATAATAATTTAGTACCAGTCTTCAAGCTATCCCATAGTAAAGTATTTAAAAATAAGAAACAGTCAGGCACCACTGGCTCATGCCTATGACCCTAGCTATTCAGGAGGCTGAGCTCTAAAGAGTCTAATTCCAAGCCAGCTTGGGCAGAAAAGTCTGTGAGACTCTTTTTCTTTTTTTTTTTTTTTTTTGGGTCCAGTCGTGGGGCCTGAATTCTGAGCCTGGGCGCTGTCCCTCAGCTCTTCAGCGCTCTACCACTTGAGCCACAGCGCCACTTCAGGCTTTTTTCTTTTTGCTTATGTGGTGCTGAGGAATTGAACCCAGGACCTCATGCATGCAAGGCAAGCGCTCTACCACTGAGCCACCTTCCCAGCCCCTCCTTTTCTTTTTTTATCTCTTGTTTCCATTTCTTGGAATTCATTTCAAAAGATATTATTTTATATGATCATATGCCCATAGCTATTGAGCCTTTGTGATCTGTTCCTATGAATATCCTCCTTTGGTCTCACTGTGTGAATGTCTAGAGAGCTGTATAACTTATCCTGTCCAGATAGAGAGAGAGAAAAAGAAAGAGAGAAGAGAAAAGAGAGAGAAAGACAATTTTTCATGTTAAAAATAACAACACGTATGCCTTGAAATTAAAAAGATTCTAAATGAATTAACTACAAAAAAATGTATCCCTCTTTAGGGTAGCATATTTGCAAAGGAGATTTAATCTAGTACAAACCGAAGGAGTTTTTGTTAAATTCCAAGGCATCCAAACATGGCACACAAACACCGCAGACAAAGGAAAGGCGACCTACCCCATGCTGCCATCCATCAGAAGAATTGTGTTGTAAACATGAGAGAATATGAACAGAAAGAGAATCGTACTGAAGAACATTGTCATCCACGACCCATGATCCTCTCGAAACATTTTCAACCTGAGCAGCTGACCTGAAATAGAAATAATATGAGAAATCAATGTACACAGCAAATCAAAATTCCTATACAACATGCTTCATTTCAGCCAATTTATATTTGCTGCACTGTTATTCCGAAGTCATGACCATAGGGCTGCCTGATGGGTGAAACCATTATTTACTGCATTTTGTAAATAAATTCTTTTGCAAATATATGATCATAAATAAAATTTAAGACAACTTTCAGATCACAGCTTATCCTAGAGAAAATAGGAATGATGAACAAGTTTGATGTCCAACAAATGGTTCATTATGAAGGCATGAAAGAAACATGAATTAGAAGACAGCCTTTTTATGATCTACTTCTAAATGTATTTTTCATTCACACTGAACTTACTCAAAGCAAGTACTAAAAAAAGCTGCACAAAGTCCTTATAGAGTCTTTGCTGCTAGGATTCCATTTTCAAATTTCTATTTTATTATCTTTAAGTAGTTGAACAAAGGGGTTTCAAATCAATATGTCAGTTTGTGAGCACAATGCATCTTGATCCATGTCACCCCCTTTTGTCTTTCTCCCCCCCAATCCCTCTGAACCCCACTTCTCCCCTCAAGACATGTGGTTCCATGGGCTGGGAAGGTGGCTCAGTGGTAGAGCATTTGCCTTGCATGCCTGAGGCCCTGGGTTCAATTCCTCAGCACCACATAAGCAAAAAGAAAAAAGCCGGAAGTGGCGCTGCGGCTCCAGTGGTAGAGCGCTAGCCTTGAGCTGAAGAGCTGAGGGACAGCACCCAGGCCCAGAGTTTTGGCCCCACGACTGGACCCAAAAAAAAAAAAAGACATGTGGTTCATTTTCACATATATGAACATTGAATATTATGATTCCATGCAGCCCCCCCCTTCCTCTTTCCATTTGTCTGCCCCCTCCCCTTGACATCCATTTTTAATACTAGGTGGATGATGAAAACCAAGGCCAACTTCACTTAAAAGAAGAAGTAATTGCCTATGTTACTGAAGATATGGGGAGAAAAACTCAAGTTTCTGTTATGTAGCACACAGATGGCATGCATTCACCTATGCATAGCTAAAATCACCATGGGCACAAAGACTGAGAGGAGGGAAGGGGTCTGGTGTGCCTTTGGAACTTGGTGTGGGGCTCCCAAAACAGTTCCACTCTTCATCCCAATCCCTAAGGCCCAAACAAATGCCATGAGAGACTGTCACTCAATATTAAATAGAATGAGCACCAAAAGTACAGCTTACCACTATTCAAATTAATCCAGAGAAATGTTTGGGTTTATGGACATTAGAATTTTGAAAAGCAAAGGTTAACAACAACAAACTAGATGCCAGTAACTCAGGCCTATAATCCTAGCTACTCAGGAAGCTGAGATCTGAGGATCACAGCTCCAAGCCAGCCCAGGCAAAAGAAAGTCTGTGAGACTCCTATCTCTAATTAACCAGAAAAGCGCCAGGAGTGAAAATATGATTCAAGTGGTAGAGTACCAGACTTGAATGAAAAAGTTAAGCAAGAACACAAAACCCTGAGTTCAACCTCAGAACCAGCATGCATGTGGGCTCACATGCACACACACACACACACACACACAAAGCAGAAAATGGTAAAGACAGATAGCTTTAGCCTCTTCTAAGATCTATTTCCTCTACTTTACTCATGTCTATTCCAGAAAAAGCATATTTAAATAATGGTGAGGGAGATGATATAGACTTAAAAGCCACAAGCAAATAAGGTAAACCTGAAATCTTATAAAATATCTCATTAGAGGAGATATTCTTTTTTTGGTGGGGGATGGTTGGTCATGGAGTTTGAACTCTGGGCCTGGGAGCTGTCTGTCCCTCAACTCTTCAGCTCAAGGCAAGCACTCAACCACTTGAGCCACAGTGCCATTTCTGGTTTTCTGGTGTTTAATTGGAGATAAGAGTCTCACGGACTTTCCTGCCGGGGCTGGCTTTGAATGGCGATCTTTAGATCTCAGCCTCCTGAGTAGCTAGGATTACAGGCGTGAGCCACTGGTGCCCAGCAAGATATTCTTTTCTTAAAAAACATATGGACATTATGAATTAGATATTATTTCCAACCTCAAATTATCTGTCTTCCAGACAGGCAGAATTTCTCACATAGTTTACAAAGCACAGAAAGAAAGAAATTTTTAAGACGTAACAACTAGAGAGAGCAAGTAAGGAGTAACACTGTACAAAAAGAAATGTACTCATTACCTGACTTATGTAACTGTGACCCCTCTGTACATCACATTTATAATAACAATTTAAAATATTTAACAACTAGAATTTTCCTTCTATCTCACTTACTAAAATAGCACCTTAGATGTGAACTGGTACCACGCTAACAGAAATACCACATTAGCTAAAGTGTTAGATGGAGCAAAAATCAAATGGTGGACTATATTCCATCACCCAGTTTTCTGGATTGTCTAAAATGGTAAATATAAAAGTCAAGGCAATATGGCCACCTCACTGAAAGGAAAACGTGGAAAACGTGACTGAAACAAATTACACTAGTGTGGAAAATGCCAAGACTAGAGAACCTACTGGCTGATTCAATAATTCTGGCAAGCCAGGGATTTTCAAGCCTCACATAACACATTAACTGTAACATCAGACTAAATAGATATGAACTACAGAATGCTTCTAAGTATAGGACATAAATACCCTTAAAGCAAACTATAAAGATTATGTATTCATTAAATAAATCTAAAGTCGAGTGCCGGTGGCTCACGCCTGTAATCCTAGCTACTCTGGAGGCGCAGCTCTGAGGATCATGGTTCAAAGCCAGCCTGGGCAGGAAACACTGGGAGACTTATATCTCCAATGAATCACCAGAAAACAGGAAGTAGAGCTGTGGCTTGTAGAGCCCTAGCCTTGGAGACAGCAGCCAGACTCTGAGTTCAAGTCCCACAATCAATAATACATACATAAATGTTAAATAGTTTTAATATAAATATTTTAAAAATTCATGTATTCCTATTATATACCTAGGAGAAGGTTATAGGTTTCAAAGACACAGCCACAAGCAAACAGTAGATGAGGCAGAGTCAGCCATATTTGAGTATTTAATGGAAATATGACCTTAGTTTAGACTCAAGGACTTTAAATTCTTGATATATGGGCTGGGAAGGTAGCTCAGTGGTAGAGTGCATGCCTCGCATGCATGAGGCCCTGGGTTCGATTCCTCAGCACCACACAAGCAGAAAAAGCCAGAAGTGGCACTGTGGCATAAGCAGTAGGGCCTTGAGCTGAAGAGCTGAGGGACAGCAACCAGGCCCAGAGTTCAGGTCCCACATTGACAAAAATAAATAAATAAATCTTGATATCTGTTCAGGTTCCATTTAGTTATGATATATATTTAATTCAGATGTATTTAATTCAAGAGATGAGTTAAATGCAAGATGTATTTAATTCAGGGTTCCTAAGTACCACAGGAACTGTCAATTTTTTAATATTTGAAAATGCATTTTGTCAATATAAACATAATAATAATAAGCATCCAATATTAATGCTAACGGCTTAAGTGCTTTGCAAACAAAGCACTGTGGATTAATTGTGCACTGGCTGAAAGAATGCAACGTGAGTACAAAAGAGAAATGTGACAGCACCATTTGTGCTGTCATGGCCAAACTTCTTGTCTGGCACTAATCTCAGCCATTAGAGTCAACAGAACACAATGGCAGGTTAACATGGCTTGAAATTCACTGGAAAAGCACAATAAAGAGGCTGCAATGTATGGGCATGACCCAGCTGTTGAGTCAAATCACACGATTAATATTTCCCATAAGCTGCTTCAGGGTTAAGTCAATGTGTGACCCCATCTGATGTAAGAATGCGTGTAAGAGCGCTGTCATTAACTGACAACTCTGACAAACCAAGAACCAGGGAGCTACCAGGAAAATGCGGGGAGAAAACACAGCATTTCTGCCTTGGAAGGCAACCTTGGAGCAGTTGTGACCCCCTTCTTTTGCGCGTGTGCCAGTACTGGGGCTTGTATTCAGGGCTTGGGTGCTGTCCCTCAGCTTTATTGCTCAAGTCTGGAGCTCTAGCACTTGAGCCACAGCTCCCCTTTTGGCTTCTTGGTGGTACACTGAAGGTAAGAGTCTCACAAATTTTCCTGCCTAAGTTGGCTTCGAACTACTATCCTCATATCTCCGTTCCCCAAATAGCTAGGATAACAGGTATGAGCTACCAGTGCCAGCCTATATTTAACATTTTTAAAAATCAGAACTTAAATAAATATAAGCCTTATCTCTATGGCTGGACTAAGAATGTAATAGAGAAAATGGAATTGGATCACAGCACTTGAAGATTAATTGAAATTCATTTCCAACCTAACTAAAACAAATGGATGACATCTTCACAAATTGTGCACATTTATAGTTTTAACACCATAACAGAAACATTTTATCCATCTAAAGTTTGCTAATTGAAATATAAAGACATAGTAAAAATAAGAAAAGTAAGAGAAGTGGAATGAGGGATGTTGATTCAGTGGGAGAACCTATTCTTTCCCCTTTCTTTCTTCCTTTCTTCCTTCCTTTCTTTCTTCTTTTCTGTCTCTCTTTCCTTCCTTCTTTCCCTCCCTTCCTCCATCACTCCCTCTCTCCCTCCATCCCTCCTTCCCTTTCTCTCTTCCCTCCTTTCCTTCCCTCTTCCTTCCTTCCTTCCTTCCTTCCTTCCTTCCTTCCTTCCTTCCTTTCTTTCTTTCTTTCTTTCTTTCTTTCTTTCTTTCTTTTCTTTCTTTCTTTGCCAGTCCTGGCTTGAACTCCTCAGAGCCTGAGCACTTTCCCTGAGCTTTTTTTGCTCAAGGCTAGTACTCTACCACTTGAGCCACAGCACTACTTCTGGCGTTTTCTGTTTATGTGGTACAGAGGAATCAAACCCAGGGCTCCATGCATGCTAGGCAAGCACTCAACCACTAAGCCACATTAGAACCTTTTCTTAATGTACAAAAGGCCATAGGTTCAATTACCAGCATACATGCAGAAAGAAAGAAAGAAAGAAAGA